ACTTGTTCCATATGGGTCTGAACTACCTGGGGCTGCTCTTTCCACCTTCTCCAAATATAGGGCCGCCAGTGGCATCCGTATGTAAGCGTTTAGCTACTGACTGAAAGGTTGGTGGCTCAAAACACCCTCCCCCGCCCCCCCCAGGCCCCCCATCAGCTTTGCCAGAGGAAAGACCTGGCCACCAGCTGCTGTGAAGCTTCCAGCCAGGAAAACCACAGGACGCAGCCCTTCTCGATCACCTGGACTCGCTGTGAGTCAAAGCCGAGTCCGTGGTCCTGAACAGCAGCAACAACAGAAGTAAATATGGGCAGATGGCATTTCTGTGGCCCCAACCCACAGCCATCAAGTCAATTCCCACATGTAGCATCCCTGAAGCACCGAGTGGGACTGTGCCCTGCCCCCCATGAGGTTTCTGAGACTGAAAATGTTTACAGAAACAGAAAGCCAGAGAGGCCAGTGGATTTGAACCACTGACCTTGCGATTAGCAGCTCAATACTCAACCTACTACACCACGGGGCTCCTATTTCTATGAAAGGAAAAATAAATAACTCAGGCCATCAAGTTGACGCAGACTCATAGTGATCCTATAGGACAGGGTAGAACTGTGCCTGTGAGTTTCCAAGATGAACTCTTTACAGGAGGAGAAAGCCTCATCTTTCTTCAAAGGAGCGGCTGGTGGTTTTAAACAACTGACCTTGCCATTAGCAGGCCAGCACATAACCCACTAGGCTGCCAGGGCTCCTATTTCTACAAAAGCGGTCTAAAATTCTCCTCTTTGTTCCACATCCCCATTGGTGAAGTGCTTAGGGGCATCTATGTTCATCTATCACCCCATCCTTAGCAATAGTAGCCTCTCCATCTCACAGGGATAAGGGCACCCTGTGAGTAATCCAAGGGTTTCCTCACCGATCCCTAGCTGTTGGTGATTAAGAGTCCTTTATCTGGACATGCACTTACCTTTAACCTGTATCCCCAATACTGAGAACTCAGGTCAGGTGTTACCCACCTCCAGCCTAGCAGAACAATTACTGAACAAAGCCAAGTGTTGCAGAGTGCTGAAGTTATAGCAGTAACACCACAGGTCCAAGGGATCACAGAACAAAGAAATAATAAAACCAAAGTCATAAAGCTTTTGAAAACCGGCCAGCTGGTTGAAAGGACATTGTAGATACTTTCCATTTTAAAAAACAAAACAAAACTTGTATAGGAAATTGGGTGAATGTGTACAAAGCAGATCAGTTTTCCCTCCAACTGTCCAGACACATTTTGTTTCATGTCATGAATTGCAGTCCCTATGAGGTAACATCACTCATCCCACTTGCTCCCTGTCTCCTGTTTCCTTCCCTCACCCCTCGAGAAAATGCTGCCCTTTGGTTCTCAGATTGTTGATGATTCAAAGGTGTGTATACTGAGAGGCACAGAGCAGAGGTAGAATTCAGCCAGGAATGTGAAGTTGAGAAAGATTGTATTGAGGGAAAGAACTCCCGGGAGGGAGGGGAGAGCAGAGAAAGGGACAGGAGCATCTTGAGCTCCCAGGCAGGTTCTGAGACCCAATGAGCTAGGTCAGGGAGGTCGTGCCTGGCAGTGAGGCAGTGGGACATGTCTAGGGCCTGAGCCAAGGACCTATGTGCTGAAAAGAAGGAGGGAGGCCTTCTGGGGGTGCAGTTGCAGGGTCTGAGTCGGATGTGGTCTGTGAGTAAATTATCTTGTTTTTTGCAGACCTGCTTCCTGGGGAACGCTGGAGGTAGGGACTACACAGTCCAGCTCTGGCCTTGAGAGGTGGGGGGAAAGGTGGGAGAGCTGGGGGAAGCGGCTGCATGGTCTGGACCTGGCCCAAACATGTGCCTCCTAGATGTTATTGTTTCCCCTATAGACCTGTCAGGTAACATTGAGCCACGGGGGTAAGCTCATTTCCAGGCCTGAAAGGGGGATGAAGGACCATAGTCTCGGGGTGGGGGGCTTCCAGCAGCCTCTATCTAACCATCAGGCTTGGTGTTTGTTTTATTTTAATAAATTTGAATCGTTCCACATTTTGCTCCCACTGGATCCAAGACTTTCTAATGTGATCCCTTTCAGAGCAGTGGGTAGTGGGGGTTGGGCACCATCTAGTTCTTCGGGTCTCAGGGTCATGAAGACTGTTGTTTGCATGGCCCATGAGTCCATTGGGCTCACTGTTTCCTTGCACCTTCAATTTTCTTCACTCTCCTTTCCTCCCTACAGGGAGAGACCACTCTTTTCCTCTCTCTGGTTTAGTATCCCTGGGAGTCTCTTGGCATGTGTTTTCTATGGCACGCATCTGCTGAGATTTTTATTGGCCCATTGGTGTGGGGCGCTTGGGAGCGAGGGAGGAAGGGGCAAGCAGGGAGTGCCACAAATGACCTGTGAAGGGGCACCAAGCTGGTCCAGTTACCATTTGCCTGGCTAAACGATCCGTTTCCTGTATTCATCACTGCCTTTCGCATCTGACACCCCTGGCAAGTCAGTCGTACAAGTGCTTCCCTCAGCTCCTTCTGGAATTTATTGGCCTGGTTGGTGATCTGAAGCATTACTCGTTTGAAATGCTTCGTTCCTGGCATGATTAACAGGTCCCTGAGGTGTGGCTCAACTCAGTGACTCTATAGGACAGGATAGAACTGCCCCTGTGGGTTTCCCAGACTGTCAGCCTTTACAGGAGCCTTGTTACCCCAGAGCAGCTGGTGGTTTTGAACTGCTGATCTTGTGGTTCGCAGTTCAGCGTGTAACCCACTATACCCCCTGGACTTAGCACTGAGTAGGAATCAACTCCTTGGCAGTGAGTTTGGTTTGTTTAGTGATGTTTGGTCCTGGGCTGCGAGTTTCTAGCTTTATAGTGAAGAATTCACCAGTAGAAAGATGGGGGTGGGGTGGGGGTAGAAGGGGGCGGCCTTCAGAAAGTTCATGGAAAACTGGAAAGAAAAGATCATGGAATTCTCCCACGAACCTTTTTGTAACCTCATCATATTTCAGTTGGACTTCTTTCTATTGAATCCTTTGAAGCCCTGCCCATTTTCTGACTCCCGGACCATGGGATTGGGGCAGAAATGTTACAAGCATCTTGAACTCTGTTACCTGGCACTCTACTGGCCGCCCCCAAACCTGGGCGTGCTGTTCACGCTCAAGACCCTTTACCATCAGCAAACCCTCAGCCTGGACCCAAGCCCACTGATACATCAACCCCCACTGGTGGCCTTTCACCCATCCCCAAGACTCCCGCCTCTCCACCCACAACCCTTCTCAGCTTGATTTTCCAAAAGGGCCCAAGCCCGTATGGCTTCCCAGCTGTCTCTGGTGGAAGCTTCCAGTGGGATAGAGTTCAGCCTCCCCTGCAGGTGACTCAGGGCTGTCCACCAGTCCACCTCCGGCCACTTCCCCGCCTCTTAAGTCACCTGCCCTCACCCAAGCGTCCATATCCACACCAGCCACAGCTAACTGGACACATTGGGTGCCCAGCCCTTGCATCACAGGTGAGCAGAAGAGCAACGAAGTGCCCTGTCCCGCATCACGTGGTCGCCAGGCCTGGAGGCAGGGCGTCCACACCGCGCATCCCTGTTGCGCATCCGGACAACCGCCGCTGGCGGCTCCACTGAACTGCGCCCGGCAGGGACTGTGTTGTCCACAGATGGATGGCTTGTGGCAGCCCCGCCCCGAGCAAGTCTGTCGGTGGCCTATGTGGTCACTCCGTCCCACGCTGGTCATTCTCACCGCATGTCAAACGCTTTCATCAGGCAGCTGTGCGCGCTTGCTCCAAACCAGACCCACGGCCGTGGAGGGAAGTCCAACTGAAAGTAATCCTGTATTGACCGTGGTCTTCTGGATGGTAAATCTTGACAGGAGCTGACAGCCTCAGCTTTTGTCCCCCGTGGAGCAGTTGGTGGCTTTGAAACCCTGACCTTGTTTAGTTAGCAGCCCAATGCTCTTTCCACAGCGCCACCAAGAAGTCATGTGACCTGCTGTATTGCAGTAGTTATCTCTGGGATATTTTTTTTCTCTTCCAGGCATAGACCTCCCTTTGCACTTAGAGCCTCCCGGAGGCCGGGACTCTTCGTCCTGCTGGCTCCTCAGGGCCACAGCCTGCATGGCCCCCTCCAGCCCCCGCCCCCTTTGCTGGCTTTATCTCCCTTGGTCATGTCCCCATTGGGCAGTGTTGTTGCAGGGCAGGTGTGTGTCCCTTCTACCCCATTCCTCGCCCTCTCAGGTGAGTGGCTCACTTTTTGTTTGTTTTGTTTTTGAAAAAAAGAAGGCCTTGGATTGCAGAGAGAATCAAGTGCTTTCCTTCTTTCTTTCCTTTGGCATCTGAGAATAGAGAGGGAGAGAACTAGGGCCCCCAAGGCATTGAGCCCTTGAACTTGAGGGTGCTTGCCAGATTTCTTAGAGGGGAATGTGGCTGTGGTTTGCTACATAAAGAAGACCCATCCCTCTCCCTTCCCCTCCCCATCCCAACACACCTAGCTTTTTAATTATAGAGCTCTCCACCCTCCCACCCCCCTTTTAACTTTTTATTGTGAAATGTCAAGCCATGCCACGACGTGCCATTTAAACAAAAGATGCTGGGAAGGCGTTTTAGAGCCCTGTCTCTGATTGTCCGGGTATGGGGTGAGGCAGGAAACCTCTCTCTGCCAAATCTGAATTCTTTTCTCAAAGACTCTCACTCATCCCCAGGATGAAGGAAAAGGCCTTACATGGGGACACTGGTCTTGGCCTGGATTTCAAAGGCCTTGCAAGCCCATCACCTTATCGACCCCTCACAAGGCCCTTGGGGAGCAGACAGGGCAGGTATCCCTGCCCTGGTATTACCTGGGAAGCAATTTGAAGCCCAAGAAGATAAATGGGGATGGGGTGGAAGGTCTCCAGGGTTGCAGGGCTGTGACTGCAATGTCTGGCTTTCCACTTGCATGCCCTTCTGGTGGTCGACCCTAACCGAGGAGAGAGAGACCTGCGCTCCGCTCCAGTCAGTAACCTGCTGCGTTCCTCTCTCGTAGGCCCAGCATTATCTTTTGACAGGCACAGATGGAGTCCCCCGAACCTGCAAAGGAAACGGTCCTCATCACAGGAGGAGTGGGCTATTTTGGTTCCCGGTAAGAGGGTCTCAAAACTGTGCCTGTGGAGTTTGGGATTGAGGTTTGGTTTCGTGTTGTTTTAACGGACAATTACTAGTTGAAGTATAGCTTTCATCTCAGACATCAGTGGGACCCATCTCTTCAATTTGTTTGCATGGTGATACACCAGAAGTAAATGATGTCCCTCCTTGAGAAAAATTCCTTATGCCCAGCTCACTGCCATCCAGTTCGACTCACAGCAGCCCTGTAAGACAGGGAAGATCGGCCCCTGTGGGTTTCCAAGACTGTGACTCTTACTCTTTGTGTGTGTGTATGTTGTTGTTGTTGTTTTAATAATGAAGTCTAGCAAGAGGGCCTTTTTAAATTTTTACCATTTTCAAGACAAAACAATGAACTATCTGAGTGGATGACAAGACAATTTAATTAAGATTGAATAGAACTTAAGGTGACACAAACAGGAGTTGTGAAGAATGTTGATATTCTTGTTTAAATGACTACGAAATGTCTATGTTTTTAAATGACAAGCAATCTGCCGAGGATAAATTGCCACTGGGGGAAGCAAACAAGCAGAAAGGTGATGTCAAGATGCAACTTTACAAAGCTCACAGTGCCCACACTACTGATATATACAGAGTGGTTTTATGTTTATTCTACTTGACCAGGTTCCTTGAATCCTTTCTCTGGATAAGTATCTTTTGGTAATAAAGTGATTACAAATGGGAAGGGGGGAAAAAGGCCATAAAGTGACTACTATCATTAGGACTTTGAACCCATTGGGATAATGTGGCAAAAGGAAAAAGATCAAAGTGTAAGGTGATCCCTAAACCTATTTTTACTCTATCACTCTATTAGGTATTAGTATACCTTCATCAAGTCTGGAAGGCAAGCCATGAAAAACAAAACAGAACAAAAACAGAAGCTATACCAGTAGCTAAATTAAGGTAGTTGGTTTGGCTGGACTACTTTCTGACAGAGCAAAACCCCATCTGATCCCTCCTAAGAAAGACAAGAAACTAGCTCCATAAGCCAACTGAGTCAAAGCTAACATGGGGATATAAGCCTTTGTCATCACCGTGATCCACGGTAGAGCAACAAAGGGACCAATCCTACTGAAGTTAAGACAAGAGTTGGCTTTGGACTGTGAGGCAGCTAAGTGATCATGCTTGGTGACTTGCATGCAAGTTCCACTTGCTTCTGTTTGTTCTTAAAACAGCACGGGGAAGTCTGATAACATCGCGTCTTGCTCTTACACACTAGAAATGATGAGAAGTGCCATGGCCCAGGAAATCAGTCTTTTGGAGCAAGGTCCTAAATAAAAGCTTATCTATTTTCCTGGTGGCTCCTAATCTCACAGAGCAAGGGTACCTCAGCATCTTTGAAGATGCTCGAGAACATTTCTGGATGAAGTGGAGCATACAGATCCCCATTGAAAGTCTCACTCAGAAAGATGCCAGGCAATTCTGATTAACATGTTCTCAAAGTGAGTCTTCATGCCTGCCTGCCCTCCTTCCCCTGGTGGCGGCCCCCAAAATAGATGAGCCTTGAGCCAAGAGATGGAAAACCAAAGTTGGAGAAATGTGCCGCCGCCCAATAAAAAGGAGACTGTAACTCTTTATGAGAGTAGAAGCCCTGTCTTTCTCCCAAAATTCCTTACAGACCCTTTAAATCCTGTTGAGGAGTGATTGATCACATCCCCGTAAGCCATTTAAACTAATCGACATTCTTTCCCAGGAATGTTATTATGCACAAATATTTCTGAGAATGAATGAGGATGGGAAGAAAGTCCCAGAACAGACAAAACCAGGTCATTTGTAGACCCGCCCACCCCCGCCCCTCTGTCTTCAAAGAGAAAGCCTCTCTGGTTATAATTTAAGGAGGCGCAAGCAGTCTTATTTTTAAGTTTGTTTTTTTTAAATCATTTTATTAGGGGCTCATACAACTCTTATCACAATCCATACACACATCAATTGTGTAAAGCGCATTTATACATTCATTGCCCTCATC